TCCTATTAGAGAAACCAAACATTACCAAAACAAAAAAATACATGGGTCACCCAAGAAGTAAAATCTTCTTCAGATAGTCTGAAGGATTTGTATATATTGAGTAAGACTTACCCTGAGCTAAAAACTCTACATAGACAAAAAAAATCAGCACAAAGTTCTTGTTGAGGCCACAAAGAGTCAATTTTATTTTAACAAAATCTCTAAATCCTCTAACAAAAACAAAACCACAAGGGCTGTTATAAATGAACTTAATGGAAAACAAAAAAATCACAAAAATATCTGTCTAAAAATAGATGATACTAGGATTACAGATTCAGATATAATATCAAACAAATTTAATGATTACTTTATAGATACACCAGTGGATATAATTAGTAAAATAATTAAACCAAATTTAAATTTTCAGCATTCCAATGATTTTGTTCAAACTAGTTTGTTCCTATCTTATGTAACAGAGGAAGATGTCTTAGATATAATAAAATATAAAATTAAAAACAAAGCATCGTGTGGTTTTGATGAAATATCAGGTATAGTAATTAAGAAAATTGCGTCTCAAACTTTGACACCACTGACTCACATTATAAATGCTTCTTTCAATACTGGTGTTTTTCCCAATATGCTGAAAACTTCTATCATTTCTATATATATATATATATATATATATATATATATATATATATATCGGTTTTAGAACGTCTTTCGACGTTGTCCGATGCCTAACTTCCACGTCCTTCTATCATCCCATTGGCCGTCTCTAAGATCTCTTGTACTCATTGCTTTAGTTACCCCTTCTTTCCATGTCTTTTTGGGTCTTCCTCGTTTTTTGCGGTTTGGTGGTACCCACTGCATAATCTTCTTGGGTAGTCTTGTGTCTTCCATTCTTTGAACATGACCATACCAAATCAACTGTTTCCTCTCAATGTCTGTTGTTAAGTAACCATCTATTCCGATTCTTCGTCTTACTTCCTCATTTCGAACTCTTTCCCTGCGGGATATACCTAACGATCTTCTAAACACATCCATTTCTACAGCTTCTAATTTTTTTCTGTTGTTCTCGGTTATTCTCCAAGTTTCTGCTCCATAAAGTAGATTGCTTTTAATTAGTGACTCATAGATGTTATATTTTCGCTTTATTCCTATTTCACAGCTCCAAAGTATTCCATTTAGGCAGCCAATTGTTCTAGCTTGTGTAACCCTTTTCTTTATTTCCTTATCGTCTTTTCCCGTTCTATCGAAGATTACTCCCAGGTACGTATATTCACTACAGGATGTGATTTCTTCATTATTCTCTAGTTCGATATTGGATAACTCAGCTCCTATGGGTAGGTATTTAGTTTTTTCTACATTTATTTCCAATCCCCACTGTTCATATTCCTCCTTTAGTTTTCTTGCCATCGCCATTCACTTCTATCATTTCACCGGTATTAAAACAAGGTGATCCTGAATTAATGTCAAATTTTCGACCATTGTCTGTTCCATCTGTGATATCTAAGATTATTGAATATGCAATGCTAAAACAACTTTTATTATTTTTAGATATCAACCAAATTATCACAAAGCATCAACATGAATTTCGAAATAAATTTTCTACTTCCACAGCCATTAACAGTTTTTATGAGGAAGTCTTACTCTCAATTGAGAACAGTGAAAATCCAACTGCCATTTTTTGTGATCTCAGTCGTGCATTTGATTGTGTGCAACACGATGTGCTCCTCGATAGATTGTACAGATATGGTGTTAGTGGAGTTGCCCATAGTTGGTTTGTTTCCTATCTGAAAGACCGGCACCAAATAGTTAAAGTGAAAAATAACTTCAAGATTTCAATGTCTGATCCGATTTTTAATAAGAATGGAGTACCACAGGGCTCAATATTGGGCCCTATATTATTTATTTTGTATATTAATGAACTACCACATGTAATGCCTAATGCATTTGTATCAGTTAATGCGGATGACTCAACAATGCTATATCGCGATAAAGACATAAATTTTTTACAAGATAAAATAACAAACTCTCTGAAGACCTTCTCTGATTGGTCCAGTAATCAGTCACTCCTGTTCAGTGTTAACAAAACTAAATTTTTATCATTTACATCACGTTCAAATTCAACCAAAGCTGATTTAAGTATTCCATCAATGGTGAGGATATTTTGAGTTGTAGTGATGTGAAGTTTTTAGGAGTGACTTTCGACTCTAATTTATCTTTTAAGACTCATTGTTGGAATGTATGTAAAAAACTCAATTCTAAATGTTATCAATTGAGAAATTTGGGTAGAATACTTAGTCTGCAACACCTTCGTCTTTTTTATTTTGCTGAGGTACAATCGACAATAAGTTACGGTATAACTGTTTGGGGTGGTTCTTCTAGTGTAAAGGACGTTTTCAAGGCCCAAAAACGTATTGTCAGATGTATAGCAGGTGTTCCGTATGGTTGGTCTTGTAAAAACCTATTTAGAGATTTGAATATATTAACAGTGTATGGAATTTACATTTTGGAATTATTGATACTAATTCATAAAAATAAAAGAACTTTTTTATGTAACAGTGATATTCACTCACACAACACAAGAAATAAGAGACAGTTTGTAGTACCCTATCGTCATTTAGAAATAAGCAGGAAGTCATCTACTATCTGTGGTTTACAACTGTATAATCAACTTCCTCAAAATTTTAAAAACATTAATTCAACTACAGCTTTTAAAAACCAAGTCAAAGAGTACCTAGTGACCATGGGTCCTTATACATTAGGTGAATATTACGAGGGTGTATCTTGGAATGCCTAAGCTGCAACATAACCAAATTTATTAATATTTTAATTATATGTCTATATTGTACATTTTTTATCTATCTATCTATCTATCTATTCTACGTCTTATTCTCCGCCTAGAATTAACCCTTCTCGTCTAGAATTCACACCGGAATTAATTTATGGTGATGTAGAACAACAGTAGCAATTCTTTAAAAATGCAATTATCGAACCAAGACGCAGAGACCTCACAACAACCAGATGCAACAAAGGAGATTGGATGACAGAAGAAATCTTGGAAATAATGGAGGCCAGAAGAAGGCGAATATCAATATAACTCAGTATCAACAGCTGCATAATCAAATAAGAAGGAAAATAAGAGAAGCTAAAGAGACTTATTTCGCTGGAAATGCCAAAAAATAGAAGACTTAGAAAACAAATATGATAACTTCAATCTCCATAAGAAAGTTAAAGAATTAGCTGGGGTAGCAAATGAAAAAACCTCATGCATACTATTGGATCAACAAGGAAACCTTTTAGTGAAGACGGAACAAAAATTAGGAAGATCGAAAGAATATATAGAGGAATTATTCCTTGACCAGAGACAGGAAAATATATATGAAGATAATCAGAGTAAAGATGAGGGACCCGAAATAACAAAGTCAGAAGTTATACATGCAGTAAAGTCTATGAAAAATAATAAAGCTGCTGATCCAGATAAATTACCAAGTCAATTGCTAAAACTGGTCAATAAAAAAAACATAGATTTTTTAGTCCAACTACTGGACACAATATATTCCACAGGAATCATTCCACGTAAAATGCTGACATCAACATTTATTTGTTGGCCAAAGAAAGTAAATACCAAAGAATTTAGTGATTATTGAACGATCAGTCTAATGTCACATACCTTAAAAACTCTGCAAAAAATCATCCATAATACACGCTAAGCTGGAAATGGATATTAGTAATTCCCAGTTTGGATTTCGGAATGAAGTCGGCACAAGAGAGGCACTATTTTCTTTTAACGTGCTGACCCAAAGATGTTTGGATCGAGATCTTTATGTATGCTTTATAGACTACAACAAGGCATTCGATAAAATAAAACATGACCGACTTATAAAAGTACTCAAAAACAAGAATCTGGATGTGAGGGATGTAACATTGATATCAAATTTATACTATTGCTAACGATCAAATGTGAAAATTGAAAGAGAAGTGTCAGAAGAAGTGGAGATAAGAAGAGGGGTCAGGCAAGGTTGCATACAAAGAAGAAGCAACATAGCAAGAAATCACACAAGAATCTTTGGTAAATGAGGCAGTCAGCATAAAAGTGAACGGAAGTTTAATTAACAACATTAGGTATGCCGACGATACAGTCATAATAGCCGACAACTTGGAAGACTTAGAAAGTATAATGAACAAAATATTATATAAGATATAGTGAAGAATCTCTTAACATCAAAAAAACCAAATGAATGAAAATTAGCAAGAACAACAATACAAATAAAATATTAACGGTAGGCGGCTAGCAGATTGAGAGAGTAAAAAGATATACTTACTTGAGAACGATAATCACAGAAAATAACGATTATACTGCAGATATAAGAGTCAGAATTGAAAAAGCACGAAAAAATTTTATGCAGCAAAGATCTGACGTTGGCCCTCAGCATAAGGCTAATTAAATGCTGTGTACACAGTGTACTCTACTATGGAGCTGAATCATGGACATTAAACCGGAATATAATAAATCGACTCAACGCGTTTGAAATGTGAACATTTAGAAGATTGTTAATGATTCCATGGGTAGATATAGTCACGAATGCGTAAGTTTTAAGGAGAATAGGCAGAGAGAGGGAAATAGAAAATACAATTAAAGAAACAAAATTGCAATATCTCGGATATGTCATGAGAGGCGAAAGATTTAACATCTTGAAACTCATAATTCAAGGAAAAATAGAGGATAGGAGAAGCGTAGGAAGAAGACGCGTTTCCTGGTTGAAGAACCTGAGGGAGTGGTTTAGTTACAGCTCAAGGCAATTGTTTAGAGCAGCTGCCTCGAAGGTCAGAATAGATATGATGATTGCCAACCTTCGTTGCGGAGATGGCACTTCAAGAAGAAATTATTCTATGACTTTTTTCTCGGGTTGGCTAATGTTCAGAGTAGGACCCTTTGAGTTTCTGAAAAAGCTTGTCTAATTATTTCAGTATCTTCGGAAGGTATATATACATATATACAGTACTTAATAACTTACCTTTAAAAGTTCCATTTGCACCATCCCCAAGTAGTCCTTTATATGAGAATACATAAAAGTAGACTGGCGAATATTTTGCCATATCGAGAACAGTTCGTCGTGTAGGTCTATTAAATTGATCATCACTGACAAACTAAAACAATTTATTAATTGTCATATTAATAATTTTCATAATTAATACTGCTTCATACAAATTTTGTACATTTATGTAAACAGATAAATATGTATATATATATATATATATATATATATATATATATATAAAATATATATGTAAAAATTAAATAAACAATAGTGCTCTTTCAGTTTTTTCTTGTGTGTTTTTGTTTCGATTCTATCGTTTAGTTTTAAAGTTTTTTAATGTTAAGTTATCGTAGAGTGTTTTTAACATCTTTAAAAAAACCTACAAATTGTTTTTGTAAGTATGAACCCTTTTGGTTATTTACTTATATTTTAAATCTTTTTATTTTTATTTGTAGTGAACTGATGATGCTTTTGAAAACAAAAAAGCGAAACGTATTCAATTAAATCAATGAAGTAGTTTTACGACTTTCATTTGCCTATTATTGACCGATACAACCTCTGCTATTCAACTATTGAATATATTTTAAATATATATATATATATATATATATATACTTCTAGCGGTTAATATGGGCTCCGTACTAAAACGGTATTATACTAACTCCAGGAGAATATACGCCGTGTATATTATTATCTGAGTAGCGCTTTATGTAGACTCCGACTAATACGTCGGATCAAGTGGACTCCGTAATAGGATCAAACATTTTTGGGATCCGTATATAACTTTTCCCGTACACTTCTTAACTCCTGCGATGTTGCCAATAATTGTATTAGTAGTAGATTTTTAAATTTTATAGGTGGTACATTTTGGAACCTATTAATATGAACATCGAGTAGCGTAATCGTCTAACAGTTTAAGAAACTTCTGTAAGATCTTTATAATTTTTCAATTACTGCAGTTTATGGCGTGTAATATTTATTTCATGAAGTAGTTAAAATTAGACTATAATAATTTATAAATTAATCTTTAATATTAAAATTTTTTGCTGTCTAATTTCAATATGTTGATTTTTAATTAACAAAATATTTGATGCATTAAAGTCGCGTAGCTATTTTCACCAAACATTCAATTTTAAAGCTATTAGTATAAAAGTCTAAAAAAAAGTATAAAAATCTAAGGAATTTAATATGGATACACACGTCAGTGTGCTTTTCTCAAGTCTCAAGTTTCTCGAATCCATCAATCATTCATTGTATTTCTTATACTTTTATTTTAATCCTCTCCAATCAAGATTTTAAAGCAGGTTTGCTCCATTAGTCCATTTTTATTACTTTTTGTCACTATTTCTCCTTTTTCATTATCATCATCATTACGTGGCGCTACAACACTGGGTGGGTCTTCGCTAACTACAAATTTTCTCCAAGTTGATCAATTTTCCACGAATCTGTAATCAAATGAAATGTTAATATCTTGAGATATAATTGGATATTTTCTCTCCATTGCTTACTGAGACGCCTAAGCGGCATTCTTTCTTCTGTGCTAACTTCCTTCCATACCAGTTTTACAAGTTTAATATATTGGCGTCTATGCATGTGTCCGATCTACCTTAAGCGATTTATTTTTCTAAACAATATCGTTATAAAAGCTTTCTTTATTCAGTATGGGTTCTTATTCTATACGGATTTGTAGAGATATGATAATGAGGTTAAAACATTTTTCTAATTATTTTTATTTCAAGTATTCGTACTTCTTCCTTATTTTTTTTAGTCAATGTCAATGATTCGCATCCATGTATTAAAATAGGTCTAAAATTTGAATTATGCTAAAAGTATTTAGTTATTGACATTATTATTAACAGTGATTATTTATCTAAGATATTTAAAGTGTTCGATATTTTTGAAATTGTAGTTGTTTACTTTAATATTTTATCTATATTTATTAAATTTGTCTTTTCTGTTGATTCGCTTGTATTTGGTTTTCATTTCGTTGATTTTTCGTGCTCTCTTTACTTTGTGGAAGATGTTTGCGGACGGGAGAGTTTCTTATGAGATCTATGTCATTAGCATATGCTATGAGTGCTTTGTACCTTGGGCCTTTAATGAATTACATCTTAAATAGGCGATATTTCCATTTTAGTAAGCTGTTCATTAATTTTTTGACTATTTGAATCGACAATCTGTATTTTATTCGACTGTTATATCACAGAGTTTCTTGGCGCATATTTTCATTCTTGGTTTTTTGTTTCCCGTATCATTATTACAAAGATTTTTCTGGAGATCGACATAGGGAACCCGGTGGTATGTACATGATGTTTTCATAACCAACATCGAAAATTTGTCTTACTGTAAAGTCATAATGATTTTACTAGGAAATATAGTGTTGCTTAATAGTAATAAAGTTCAAGCAACAATTCCTATATGCAATACCTTGGTATGATATTTCTGTTCCCCGACACCAAGTAGCAGTCCCGAAAACATTAAAACTGCTACACTCATGTTTCCTATTATCCAAAAATTAGCCAGTCCAGGACTATACTGCCCTCATAAGTGAATAGAATATGTACGGAGGTTTTTGGCAATTTAATAGGATTTTGTGTGTTAGAATATTATTTCTCCGAGAAAGTAATAGTACATTGTTTACCGGGTAGGAAAAGCTTAACATTCCTGGACGACTGTGAAGATTAGCAACACAGAGTCCAGGAATGTGGTATTTCCTACGAGGTAAACATACTATTTTTCAGCAAATCGTTTAAAATTCGACTGATATTGATTGATTTAAAAAAAAAAACGCGATAATTTTATTGCCAAATAAATGGTGCTTTGAAATTCCTAATAAAATTACTTGGGTTACTATGGAAACTTATTGAGGTTGAATTGTCAAACTTTTTTATAATTTATGTAGAACACTAACAACTGTACGGAAATATCATTTCCTTACAATAAGGAAATGACATTTCCTTACAGTAAGGAAGTCCTGACTTTTTCTTCAAGAAATTTTGACAGGAATGTCAAAATTTCCTGGCGATTTGCGGAAAAGAATATTTATTTGCTATCCAAATATAATCCATAAATTAAATATTAGAATGCTATAAAATAATGCTACTAGCAGCAAAAACGGTATAATAGTCACTAATGAGAAAATCAAATAAATGTTTTTTAACATACAAAAGAAAGGATGTAGAGTAAGGCATAACGTAACAATAAAGCTATATAATTTTGAAAGATTGCAGCGTTTTAGATATCGTAGATAACGTTGTCACATAAGAAATAAAAGGGAAAATTCAGGTAGCTAACTGATGTATATAGAACCCTTTTAACACTTTTAAATCCAGATGCCTAATATAAGTCTCTAAAATCAGGATATATAAAACAGTGAACCAGTGCTAATGTGTGGATATGTAACGAAAACGTATTAATTAGATCAGGATTGCTAGAAAAGCCATCAGAGGTATTTCCCGACTTACAAAGGTCCGAGTACTAACCAATATCGAACGAAACTAATGCCAAGGTCAAACACATATATAAAGATAGCAAAGAGGTACAAGAACCTAAATCTCAACTCCAAAGTTGCGCTGGCTCTATCCAAAGGCTCTCTCATTAACTGCATTCCCAAGTTAAATTGGTAGGATGGCCCGAGAGAAAAAATGCCCTTAGGATGTCCACGGATGAAGGGCGCAGATTTAGGAATAATGAGACTACTTACCGACTCATCATATTTATCAACACCTGCTATCCTACCTACAATCAATACATATCTGTTGAGGACTATCAAATCAATTACATGTAATCAAACGAACTAGGCTTACAAAAAGTATCCTAGGAAAGGCACTTCGGCAATATTGACATATTTTTTTAAACGCCATTTATGTCGCTGAGTTTGCAATAGGAATGAGGAGACAAAAAGGAAGAAATGGTGATAAAATCTTGTTGCGTTCCGACTATACGATGACGATGATCTCTATATAACATATAGGAAGAAATGGAGAATAATGTCTATGTTCAATTTAGAACTCGTTGGTTTTCTCCCTTTCGAATTGGGTATGTATATGTATTACCATAGAAAAAATAAAAAAAAACTAAAACTATGAAACTCTATCTAAAATAGTAAAATCGATAAACAAATTATATAAACAAAAAGATTATATAAATCCCTAATATTTAAACAGACTGCTTTACAAAAGGTGAACGAATAAGCATAAATAAATTGTCAACAAAATAAATCAGAAGAATATGACACAGTATATTGCTTAAAAAGAATTCTTATGTGACTATGCTAAAATATGATACGATCGGAATAACGGCAATGACTTTTACAGCTGATTGCCACATAAATATTAATGTAACGCAAATATGATGATATTGCCTCGTACTGTTATATAGCAATTTGTTGTCACATTGCTGAAAGTTACTTGATGGAAATTCATTGTATCTAACAATAAAACAAGTATGCGTTTACACGTTATAGATTGTAACTGAATAAGTTGAGGAGGGGAAAACTGTTTGTCCCAAGTTCGCATTCAGAATTATGTCTGTATTTTGTAATTTGCCAATTTCCATAGGTTTAAATTTTCATGGATATCACTAGACTCGAGAGCAGTGTATGATTCCTTAGTTATGTTTTTAAAGGATAGTAAAATAACCATCTAAATAATTATGCATTAGTTAATAACGTAACCTTTGTTTCTAACCCAATTGTCAAATTCCTTTTTTACCGTGGCCTAGTGTTGTACGTCTTTTTAAAAAATGCCTTGATGGGCCCCTAGGCGAGAAGAGAGTGACCCTGTTTACCTGTCTTTTGTTTTGTATATTTATTAATATAAACTCAAACAACTATTTGTACCATGTTGAGTCTGGCTAAATGACTAAAAGTCTATGCCAAAAAAATTTCATAGAATCTAAAGACAGCTTAAGGCCTTTATTATAAATATACTTTTTAGTAATGAAAATAAGTAAATAGAACCTAGAATATCCATGTAAAAGAATGTTATCTTTGATCTCTGGAATAAACTCATCTCCTGAACAATGGCGCCGATATATATGCAGTTAAAATTGTGTACACCTATTTTAACCTGTTTGTTTCCTTATTATCCATATATGAGTTGTGACCGA